CATTGCAACCTCAAACTCCTGGGCTCACGTGATCCTCCTGCCTCGGCCTCCTGAGTAGTTGGGACTAAAGGTGCACACCACTATGCCAATTTTTCTATTTTTACTAGAGATAGGCTCTCGCTCTTGCTCAGGCTGGTCTTGAACTTCTGAGCTCAAACAATCTTCCCTCCTTGGCCTCCCAGAGTGTTAGGATTACAGGTGTGAGCCACTGTGCCTGGCCAAAAACAGTGATTTTTAAAAGATCTAGATTTGGGGATGGTTCTCACAGTTCCCTAACTGATGGCTCACTGTGCCTAAACTCTGTGTAAACAGTATGATTCATGCTGAACACCTGCTTTCCTCCTGAGAGCGTGGATTTTCATATGTGCCATGTAGTGGGTGTGTATATACTCAGTATCTAGGGCTCTGAGTCTCTAATGAGCTTCCCTGGTCACATATATTTTGACATGTTAGAGGAATTAAGCATGTCCTATGAGACTCCACTAGGAGAGGAGTCTCGGAAGATGGTGCTTGGTTTCCTCTGGGCTTAACATATGCACCTTTTCCACTTAGGTGATTTTGCTTTGTATTCTTTTGTTATAATAAATCATAGCTGTGTACGGATTATATGCTGAGTCCTGTGAGACCTACTGAATCACCAAACTTGGGGATTGTCTTGAGGACTGCCAATGCCAATTCTATGTTTTGCTCCTACTTTATACTTGCTACTATGTCTCATTTCCAGCTGAAAACAAATGGAAAAAAACTAGAAATGTTGATTAGCCCATATTTCAGGGACTAAGTATAGAGCTGATGATAAAAGGTATACAATCATACTTTTTACATAATGTTCAGACGAATGGATGGCACCTGCAACGAATCCTGTGTTTTCAAATTTGACAGTATTCATCAGGAATGTCCCCTTGTGAAAAAATTATGCTTTGAATTTGACAACAGTGGTTATCCAGTACTTCTGTTTTATTCCTTTTCTCAAAGCAAACTTTAAAAGACCTCTAATATTTTGAAAATTTATTATTTAGTACTGAGAAAAGCACGTTCAAGATAGAAACAGGCCAGGTACAGTGGCTCACACCTATAATCCCAACACTTTGGAAAGCTAAGGTGGTAGGACCACTTGAGGCCAGGGGTTCAAGACCAGCCTGGGCAACATAGACCCCAGTCTTGACAAAAAAAAAAAAAAAAAAAAAAAA